ACCGCGACTAGAACCCACCCTTCTGCTTAGAAAACGTTTTTTGAGGGTTGGGGGGAGAGTTTCCTTTCTATTTTGCGGTTTTTAGGCCTTTGTCTACATCTTATTGTTCACTATGGCAATTTTTTTAGCTTATTTTCGTCTAAAAAGGCCCTCTAGCGCGTAAACGGAGAAAAAAATTAAAGATTTCTTCTGAGTGTACTCCCCCCCCCCTTTTCCTTTGGTGAGTCGTTAGACACCTCTCGCTGATTTGTCATAGCCAGTCGTCTTATGGTACACTTTACGGTACGTCTCACGGTACGTCTTTTGTTCCGTATTTTGCCCGTCTTACGTTACGTCAAACGTTTCTTCTATCGTTACGGCAACAACAAAATTTGCATAGCGATAGCGCGCAAACCTTCGAACAAACATTTTCGTTCATTTTCGGTAACCAAACATATTATCTGAATGGCCAACTTAAATTTTGTTACTTTTCCTTACTTATTGGTTTGCTTATTGTTTACCAATATTGTGATTTTTTTTTAAACAATTGCCAGAATAAATTTACAAACTAAAGTCAATCACGTTATTTTTTTACAGCTCGCTGAACTGCTTAACAAAATGAAAACTGCAAGAGTCCATCTTGAAGACCTGAGAAAGGAATTGGCAAAAAAAAGGGATGAGAACCTTGCAAATAAGAAATGGAATTTTGGCAAGGAATTGCCAGATATCTCGGACTGGGAAAAATATCTGGAAGATCATGAAACCATTTCAACTCTTGAAAAGAGTATGAAAGAACTCGAGGAGGCTTCCGAGGAGTTGTGGCAGGAGCTGGAAGACAGTCCCGGTAATTTTTATATTTTATTATGAGCCAGAGCGTAGATGTATAAGTTGTTTGCAGAACATACATAAAATCAATAAATTCTTCATTTTTCTGCCTGGAAGCTTTATTATTGAAAGTATCTACGTGTCGTTTTAATGCAAGCATCTGCTTGTTTTCAGGTGCCAGTCCACTCAGAGAAAGATTTAATTTCATGGTTGAATATGTGAGCACATCTCTGCTCTTTCTGGCAGCTCGCCCCGGGGAGTTGGCGAACTGCACATATAAAGAGCTAACTGACGCGGAAGCCGTGCAGGATGGTTTGCACGTGCTTGTCTCAAAGCACAAGACGGGTCGGTTCAAGAAAGCCGTTATTGAGATACCTGCCGAGAGAAAAGAACTGTTTTTCAGATAAAAGGAAATTCTAGCGAGGTTTTCTTCGCCTCCGTCGCTGGGTTTTCCATTCTTGTCACCAACTAAAGGTTTCACGGTGAGTAGAAAAATAAAGCTGAGACCTCTTAAGCAGCTATGAAGTATAATACAGTCTTTTTCGTATCCGAATTGAAACAATTCTAAAATTTAGTCCTTACTTTGCTTTTTTTAGGAAAACACAAATATATACCGTCGCTTAAACCGATGGCTTTCTAAGAACAATTTGCCACTTTTTACCTGCACCAAGCTCAGAAAAGCAGTTGAAACCAATGCAGGTCTCTTTGCCTCCGATTCAGACAGAAAGCTTGTCGGTTCAGGTTTAAACCACTCAGCAAAAACTGTAGAGAAGTCATATAACGTGCAGACAATGTAATATATACTAAACATGAAGACAAAGCTTGTGGAAAGTTTTTCCTCTTTTGGTGCAATTTTTTGTTGATTAGCTGCATACAGTATTACGTACTTAAAACTTGCTTAGTATTACTATAAAAACTTACTGTTTTGCTCTTTAATATAAAACCATATTTTCCATTCCGATAGGGTATCCCTCTAGAGCGCGGAGCGGA